AAAAAAAAAAAAAAAAATTGCAGTAGGGCCAGGCGCGGTGGCTCATGCTTGTAACCCCAGCACTTTGGGAGGCCGAGGTAGGCGGACTACAAGGTCAAGAGATCGAGACCATCCTGGCCAACATGGTGAAACCCTGTCTCTACTAAAAATACAAAAATTAGCTAGGAGATGGCGCACGCTGTAGTCCCAGCTACTCAGGAGGCTGAGGCAGGAGAATCAATCGCTTGAACCCGGGAGGCAGAGGTTGCAGTGAGCTGAGATTGTGCCACTGCACTCTAGCTTGAGCTCAGGAAGTTAAGGCTGCAGTGAGCTGTGATCACACACCACTGGACTCCAATTTGGGTAGGAGTGAAATGTTGTCTCAATTTTTTAAAAAAATTGGTATCCTTTAGAGATACATACTGATGTATTTCAGGAATGACATATCTGGTATTTTCTTTAATATCATCTGAGCAGGGCCAGGCGCGGTGGCTCACACCTGTAATCCCAGCACTTTGGGAGGCCAAGGCAGGCAGATCACGAGGTCAGGAGACTGAGACCATCCTGGCTAACACAGTGAAACCCCGTCTCTACCAAAAATACAAAAAATTAGCTGGGCACGGTGGCAGGCGCCTATAGTCCCAGCTACTAGGTAGGCTGAAGCAGGAGAATGCTGTGAACCCAGAAGGCAGAGCTCGCAGTAAGCAGCGATGGCACCACTGCACTCCAGCCTGGGCGACAGTCAGACTCTGTCTCAAAACAAACAAAGAAAAAATCTGAGCAGTAGGGGTGGGGGGTTGTGAGGGGAAGTTAGTAGGGCTACAATCAACGCTGATGCCTGAGATTTAATCCTTGTTGAAAATATTTCACATTATTCTACTTTTGCATGCTTTAAAAATTTCCATTATAAAAGTTTAAAAAACTTTTGCCAATTTTTCTATGAGAAAATTATCATTATTTTAGTTAAAGACACTGGTCTTAGAATAAGAAATTTTTTCTGTTTTAAAGAAAAGTCACATGCCTATGTAAAGGGCAAATGTTCATAATAAATAGTTGCAGTGAAAACGATTAGTTGTGGCCAGGTGCAGTGGCTCACACCTGTAATCCCAGTACTTTGGGAAGCTGAGGCGGTGGATCACTTGAGGCCAAGAGTTCGAAACCAGCCTGGGCAACATGGTGAAACCCTATCTCTACTGAAAATACAAAAATTAGCCAGGCATGGTGGTGTGCACCTATAATTCCACCTACTTGGGAGGCTGAGGCAGGAGAATCACTTGAACCTGGGAGGCAGAGGTTACAGTGAGCTGAGATGGCGCCACTGCACTCCAGTCTGGGTTACAAAGTGAGACTGTGTCTCAAAAAAAAAAAAAAAGAGATTAGTTGTTATGTTTTTTTGTTTTAAATTTCTATGAGAAACAGCACATTCATGTTATTCAATTAACAAATACTTGGCCCAGGCCAGGTGCGGTGGCTCACAACTATAATCCCAGCACTTCAGGAGGCCAAGGTGGGTGGATCACAAGGTCAGGAGATTGAGACCATCCTGGCTAACACGGTGAAACTCCAGTTCCACTAAAAATACAAAATTAGCTGCGCATGGAGGCGCATGCCTGTAATCCCAGCTACTTGGGAGTCTGAGGCAGGAGAATTGCTTGAACTCAGGATGTGGAGGTTGCAGTGAGCTGAGATTATGTCATTGAACTGCAGCCTGGGCAACAAGAGCAAAACTCCATCTCAAAAAAAAAATGATAATAATAAATGAATAAATACTCACTGTAAAAATAGTAATAAGAACCAAAGAAGCAAACGATTGTACTAAAACATTATCTTTGGGGTATTTTCAACAATGTACTTTCTTATCTAAAGATAAAATCAGCCAGGTGAAGTGGCTCACTCCTGTAATTCCAGCACTGTGGAAAGCTGAGGCAGGCAGATTGCTTGAATCCAGGAGTTTGAGACCAGCCTGGACAACATAGCAAGACCCCATCTTATTAAACATATATATATGTTTACAAACTATTTTATATTTTATATTTATATAAAATAGTTTTTAGAACTATTTTATATTTTATATTTATATAAAATAGTTTTTAAAAACAAAAAATAAAGATAAAATATTGGGGGAAATAAAACCCCAACCTTTGATTTTACATAAATGGAATTATACTATTTAGAAGGTAAAACTGAACTTTGTACCTTTATTTTAGTGCTGTTACTGAGCTTTAAAACTACAAAATCAATTACAATATATAAATAAGCCTTTCTGGAAATAATTATCAGTTCTTTTCTGTGAACAGCTCCTTTAAAAAATGTGAGAACTACATAAGTACAAAGTTTACGAAAGGGAAATGCAGTTAAACAGGGAGAAAGCAGTTTAAAAAACTGAATTTTATTATCTCTTAGTTTCATATATCAAGAATTAAATGGAATTTCAGGGTCACACATACAAAAACATAAAAAGTTTTAATTTTTTTATTTACATCTACTTTAAATATAAAATCCCAACTTTTACATAAATGCAGTATCTGAACACATACACCAAATCATAGGAATAACAACATTTAATCCTACCTGAAAAAGATCCAAAAGAGGCTTCCAAGAGAGCATTAGGACTGCTGCTCTATTGATAGTTTTGGGAATTTCAGAATAAAACAGTGTATTTTCTCTGTTCTCACCAGACATGGCTATAGGAGAAAGCAATCATTTATTATTATTTTTTCGAATAGCATTCTTACGACAGTCACAGTTGCAAGTATATAATGCCTTCTATACACTGCAATATTTTGCACTCTATGGGATTTATAATGAATGTTAACAAGTAGAAGGTGCTTATGCCATACACCATAAAAATTTTCAATAAAACCAAGGCTAGCCTGGCCCAGTACACATGCCTATAATCCCAGCTACGTGGGAGGCTAAGGTGTGAGGATCACTTGAACCCAGGAATTCAAGACAAGCCTAGGCAACATAGCAAGATCCCATCTTAAAACAACAACAACAACAAAAAGAAACCTGAGACTTTAAAGAAAAATGCTCAGGTTTCATTCTGGTAATCAGATCTTAGTCCCTCTCAAAATAAACATAAAAGTATGTAAGTTACTGTGTAAAGAAAAGTTAAGTACCATTTTCAGAATTTTTTAAAAATTGTGAGTCCTTTACCAGTTGGCAACAGGCTCATGAGATTCCAATGTAACAACTTCAGATTACTGTTTCTTCCGTTTCTGAAACATTTAAAGTGCTTACTTGGAAACACATAGATCTAACTGAATTCTAGTTTTTATTCATTATAAAAGTTCTGTAGGCTAGGCGTGGTGGCTCATGCCTATAATCCCAGCACTTTGGGACACCAAGGCAGGCAGATCATTTGAAATCAGGAGTTCGAGACCAGGCTGGCCAACATGGTGAAACCCCGTCTCTACGAAAAATACAAAAAAATTAGTTGGGTGTGGTGGCATGTTCCTGTAATCCCAGTTACTTAGGTGGCCGAGGCAGAAGAATTGCTTGAACCCAGGAGACAGAGATTGCAATAAGCCGAGATCACACCACTGCACTCCGGCCTGGGCAACAGAGCAAGACTCCATCTCAAAAAAAAAAAAAAAAAAAAAAGTTCTGTAACAATAATCATTAATAAGACCTTTAGGGTTTCCAATAAAGGTATATTAATATTAAAACAACACAGAATCTGGCATCTGATCTGCTGAAAATCTCTTTGTCCTTTATTGGGGAAGGGCGAATGAAAAAGGTCTAAATTAAGCAGAAGTCAAATCAATTCTGTGAAATCATGTGATAACTAGATGGGAAGATAACAGCAGTGTAGAATGAGTTACATATAAAAGTTACATATAAAAGACTGACAGAAACACTATGGTTATGAAGATGTGAATCAAAGAAAACATAAACAAGGTAAAACAAAGCCTTTCTACTCTAAAAACGTATTACTGGCCAGGCGTGGTGGCTCATGCCTGTAATCCCAGCACTTTGGGAGGCTGAGGTGGGTGGATCACCTGAAGTTGGGAGCTCGACACCAGCCTGACCAACACGGAGAAACCCTGTCTCTACTAAAAATACAAAATTAGCCAGGCGTGGTGGCACATGCCTGTAATCCCAGCTACTCGGGCGACTGAGGCTGGAGAATCACTTGAACGGGGAGGCAGAGGTTGCAGTAAGCCGAGATCACTCCACTGCACTCTAGCCTGGGTAACAAGGGCAAAACTCCATCTCAAAAAAAAAAAAAAAAGGTATTGCTTCCAAAAAGCTGAAGGAGTGAAGGAAGGAAAAAATAAATCACACAGAAATAACAAGAAATCTCCTGGGTGAAAGAGACCCTTGACATGTGTTTCTGAATTATTAATGCCAGCAGAAGGTAGTCTAGGGAAAGGTGTGGTTAACTTCCATGCTAACCCTCATGAGGATGAGCCTCCAAATAACCACATATTTTTTTTATCCTCTTATTTTTCTAATTAGTTTACATTGCCTTTGGAGTAAAAAGTTATATATCCACTGACATTTACTTCAGCACTCAATTTTGTGTTAAATCTACTTTGTAGATTCCCAAGTTGCTCTGTTATAGAATTCTTAAGACTGTGGTCACCCATCAATACCATTCACAATTTTACAAAATGTGATCATATCCTCCTTAACTATTCTCTTTCTAAGAGCCTTCGGTCTTAAAATATTAAAAGAAAAATTGGTTTTCTTCTCTCCTCAATAACAGCCATTCCCCACAATCATTTCATTTGCCCCTCCCTATATGCTCCTAGTTCCAACTAGGAGCTTTATCCATCACCAGTAAAAATTTCCCCAGTACATTCTATGTTCTGACATAAGCACAAAATGGGCTTTTCTCATGCTTTCCTAATGGTATTTGTCGGTCTTTAGAGCTACAGCAGTCAATTTGGTCCCATGTCTTCAGGCAACAGTATCAATGAGTCCTGTTTCTCTTTAGGATAGCATGACAAACAACAAGAGGCAAAATTAAGCATGCGATAAAGTAAAATGCTAATGTAACAAAATGCTTGTTACTAAATAATAGAGCTTCTTCTTAGCATACCACATTTGGAATAAGGGCTCTCAAAAACGTATAATTTCTTATAAAAGATTTCTGGCCAGGTGTGGTGGCTCATGTCTGCAATTCCAGCACTCTGGGAGGCTGAGGTGGGCAGATAGCTTGAGCTCAGGAGTTGGAGACAAGCCTGAGCAACATGGTGAAACCCCATCTCTACCAAAAATACAAAAATTAGCTGGGCATAGTG